GGGAGGAGATCTGTTAGGTTAGAAAAGCTGTGGGCTCAGCTGGCCTGTGGGGGCAAGGAAAGCTCCCCGGCAGGCTGGTGTCCCCAGGTAAGGCCTCATCCAGGACCCCTGCAGGCACAGGGACAGGGTGTGCAGGGTGGGGTGTTTGGCTACTTTCAGAAGACTAAGTCCTTCTCATCTTCCCATCCCCAGTGAGCTAAAAGGAGCACGGCCCATTTTGCAGCTTTGTAGGTCACTGAAGGAGAAGGCAGGCTCTGCAGTGTGCCGGGTAGCGCCCTGTGCTGTGGCAGCTCTCCTTCCCCGGGCTTCTGAGGAAGAAATTGGAGAGAGGCAGGATGGAAGATGACCCCCAGCTGCCCCGCTGTTACACTTTGAAACTGCCTGGTTGCAACACACAGTTTCAGACCTCGGGGGAGAAATACTAGTCAGTAAATGTGGACATCCAGGGCAGACCCTGTGCCTGTCGGGAATTTGCTCAGCTCCTGAGGGCATCAGTGTGCTCCTCCTGAGCAGCAACAGGTGATGGTGCTCCATGGACTGGTGACCTGATAGATTTCCTGCTGCCTTGCAGGAGGCTGCTGGGGGGCAGGGAATGTGAACTAGGAAAAAGGAGTGGAATAGAGCAAAACCAAGCAGGTGAGGGAGGGAGGGATGGATCTCCCTTCTGTGCTTGCCAAGGCCTTGGCTCCACTTGACCCGGGAGCTGCAGGTGGAGGTGGCTGTGCCCCACAGGCTCCTCTCTGGGCACCCCTGCAATGCAGGGCTGGGGCAGCACTGGCTGCCTGGCCTGGTGCCCGGGGAGGTTGTGCCGTGCTGTGCCGTGCCGGGGAGGTTGGCGTGCTCCGGGCGGGCTGCCCAGCACGTGGCACTGGTGCCAGCAAACAGGACAAGCAGGGTCACATTTGCTTCTGGCCTGTTGGGGTGAAGGATGGAGGGCTCAGGGAGGGCTCAGCCCACAAGGGGAGCTCCTGGCTCTGCTCCTGGGCACTGACAGCAGTGTCACCCTGCCCCATCCTGATGGCAGCCATCCCAAGCACCGAGGGAGCAGCCTCTCATTTGTATTTCCCAATTTACTCACGTTATAACTGAGCCAGAGAAAACAGAGAAATCAGGCTTCTTGATGTTGTTGCTCTTCCTTGGATCTCAGAGTGTGTTGGTGGGGCTTTGCCACGTGCTGAGGACACAGAGCCGGGGGCACATGGGGAGGTACCTGCACCGGGGCCAGGAGGGGGTTTGGTGTGGTGGCCAGGGCAGCACTGCAGCTGTGACTCCTCTCCATCTCTGTAACTCCTCTCCTTTTGCAGAGATTTGGTGGGAGGAGCCGGCTCCCAAACTACGACACTCAGAGGAACTGCTTCTCTCAGCTCTGTTGGGGCCTCTGAGCTCTCGCTGCGAGGGAGAGGACAGGTGAATAGTCCCCCATGTAAAACAGTGGCCCCAGCTGTTGAAGCTGGTCTTACCTTAGCTCACTGGATTTATTTACAGATTTACTTAGAGCTGCTCTGTGAGTTTGCAGCCTCTGCCTTGGTGTTTGCACTTCAGGCTCGGGGGTCCTGCCACCCTCGGGGCACTGTGGGGGTTGGGGGGCTGTGGGCAGCGTTGGCAGCTCTTCCCCACCTTTGGTACCCCAGCACCACAGCCAAGGCACTTGGCAGAGCAGGTTCCAGCCCAGCACTGCCCTGTGGCCACACAGCCCAGAGGTGCCCTGATGAGCTGCAGTTCGTCAGGTGTGGGCCATGCAGGGAAGCCCTGCAGAGCCAGCAGGAAGGGGTTACACCTTGGATTTGCTGCCTGGTCACAGCCTGTCCAGATTTGGGGCTGCACCCCTGGTTCTGCCCAGGGTAGGTGCTGAGGCGAGTGCAGTAGTGGCACCAGCCCCTGCTGTTGTCACCTCCTTCCCCAAGCGCTGTGCACCTCCGGGCAGGTGCCTGTGGCATCAAAGGCTGGTGTTTTCTAAAGGTTTCTGTCCCTGCAGGGCCACCCTGAGCCATGTCCAACGACCCACCGCCACCCTACCCGGGGGGCCCCTCGGCACCGCTGATAGAGGAGAAGCACGGCCCCCCCTCTGCACCAGGTACAGGGGCGTGGTCCCGGCTGCTCAGGGGTGTTGTGCTGACATTGTCCAGCAGACAGGAGCCAAGCAAGTGTGGATTCCCTGGGAGTGCCCTGGCTGTGGCTTTTGCTGGCAGCTCTGCCCTGCCATGCACAGTGTGCTGGGGAGGGTGGTGCAATGCCCAGCTCCATCTGTCCCCATGTCACCCTCAGAGAAGGCAGGAGAGGTCATGGGGGCAGCAACGAGAGCAGGAAGCACTCCCAGCTCAAAGTGTGGCTCTGCTCGCTGCTGTGGGTGAGGTGGGGTGAATTTGGGCTTCATGTGGCCCAGAGGATGAGGCTTAAGGCAGTGCCCCCCACCTCATGTGTTCCCCTTCCCTGCTGGGACCAACCCTCTGACCACACAGCCAAGCCACCATCTCCCCATCAGCTCTGCTGCCTCCCTGGCTGCTAACTCTGTGTTTCCTTTCAGAGGGTGTCACCCCAGTCGTGGGACAGCCCCAGGGGGTTCCCATCCCCCCTCCCGAGTTCGGGCCCCCCCCGTATGAGCCGCCCTCTCAGCCAGGGTTTGTGCCCCCCCACATGCCCACGGATGGCTCCGGGCCCTACGTGCCTCCGGGTGAGTCCTGGGAGGGGCTGGGGATGGGTGGCAGCACATGACTTCTGGGGAATGGGGGGGACACAAGGAGGGGCTGGAGCTGCCATTTGGGGCTTGCAGCGAGGCTCCTGGGGATGGGGTGGGGGACACAGTGCCTGCAGCAGGGTTGGCCCCAAGACTGTACCCCCGGTGGTGGGGGGGCAGCAGGATGGGGACCTCCCCAGTGAGGATCTGCCTCTCCAGCCACATATAAAGATGCTCACCTGTGCATGTTTCTCATTCACAGCAGGGTTCTACCCACCCCCAGGCCCTCACCCCCCCATGGGCTACTACCCTGCCCCGGGCCACTACCCCTCTCCTGGTGGCCACACGGCGACGGTGCTCGTCCCACCGGGAGCTGCCACCACAGTGACGGTGCTGCAGGGAGAGATCTTCCAGGGTGCCCCTGTGCAGACAGTGTGTCCCCACTGCCAGCAAGCCATCACCACCAAGATCTCCTACGAGATTGGGCTCATGAGCTTCCTCCTTGGCTTCTTCTGCTGCTTCATGGGGTAGGTGCTGCAGGGGGAGCTGGGGCCTCGCGGTGGGCGCTCAGCCCTGGTCCTGGTAGCCCCAGTGCTGGGGGCCTTGGCTGAGCTGATGGGCAGGGCTGGGGTCTCAACGTGGAACTGGGGCAGCAGAGAGGTTCTGGGGGTGACAGCCCCTCCACATACTCATGTCTCTTGCCCGTGCCCCCAGTGTCCAGGGGCTGCCTGAGCTCACCACTCTCTGCCTCTTCCCTTCCTGGGCTCCAGGTGTGATCTCTGCTGCTGCCTGATCCCCTGCCTGTTCGATGACTTCAAGGATGTGACCCACACGTGTCCCAACTGCAAGGCCTATATCTACACGTACAAGCGCATGTGCTAACAGCGCCCTGGGAGCCACTGGAATGACACCGGCCCCGTCCCGCTGCCGTCCGAGTCTCCGCGTGTGCATCCCTCCTTCGCTTCCCGCCGGTGGTGTGTGTGTGTTATCCCCGGCTCCCTCCCGCTCAGAGCTGCCACCACCTGCCCCGAGCTCTGGTCCTCACTGGGAACAGCTGGATTGGCTGGCACACAGGGGAGGTGGGCCCAGGCCCCAGATGCTGTGGGAGGTGCCCTGCAGGAGTGGGGGCATCGCTCTGCACCCCTCTACGCTCCGGGGTGTGAGCGAGGCCCCTCTCCCCTGGAGTAACCCCAGTGCTGGAGGGGCTCACCCCCGTCCCACAGCACAGGGGGTGCCTGGCTGCTGGGATGTGCTGCAGCCAGAGGGAGCCCAGGAGGGAAGGGGGGGACCTGAGCAGCCCACGGCACACTCAGGGGACACAGCACAGCCCTGGTGGCACTTTTAGGAAGGGGCTCAGAGGGTAGTGCCACACACCGGGTTTCAGGGTGTGTCTCGGCCCCCTCCAGCCGTTCGGCAAAGCCCCTTCCCGAGGAGAGGCAGAGCTGCCTTTGAGCACGGAGAGGGGACCGGCAGCAGCACTGCACCCTTGATCAGCACCTCCGTCCTGTCCCTGTGGCCGCTCCAGCTGCATGTGCCCCCTCCCAGCCCCGCCGGCTCCGGGGCAGGGACAGCCCCCGGCAGCCCCGATAGCCAAAACCACACCCGGCATGTCGCTGCCTGCCCGGCACGTAGAGTAGAGGAGTTTGTTACCAGGCCGCAGCTCCGGAGCCCCGCCCTGAGCCCGGCGGGGTCTGCGGGCTCCACCCCGCACTGCCCTGCGGGGTCCTCCTTGCATGTGGGTGTAGGGGGTATTTTTAGCTCACTTCAGTGGGGCAGAAGGAAGGGGGCAAGCAGGCAGCGACAGGAGCTGCCAGCAGCACCCTCACTGGCACGGGCAAGAGGACCTGGGAGCCGTGGTCAGCCTCTGGGGGCTGCTCCTGCCCTGCCCCTGCAGCCCCCCGAGCAGAGTAGGGGCAGGTCTCTTGGTACCCAGGTCTGCAAACACGGCCCAGCCTGCACAGGCAGCTGCTGTTTGCCCAGGGGTGGAACTGTGGCAATAGTCAAGTGTTTTTATGTAAATAAATAACAGACCCTGAACTCGTGTACATCTTTTCTTCTCTCCTGATCAAAATCCAGAGCAGATCTGCCTGCAGGGGAGCTGAGGACAAGGAAGAAGAGCAGCAGCTTCCCTACCCCACCAGGAACCCTCTCACCAGGAACTGGGGGAAACCCCAGGGGAGGTAGCAGGGACAGGGGGGTGCAAGAGCAGGAGTTTCTCAGGGGCTGCCTGAGTCAGAGACAAGTACAACAGTGCTCCCATCTCCCCCTTAATCCCCTCCCCAGCCTCTCCTGTTCTCCCAGTGACTTGATTCTGGCTTTCCCCAGCTATAGCATTGTAACTTTTTATTTCAGTCAAGGCTTCAGGAAAAATAACCAACAACCAACCCTCAACCCCAAAGTTGCACAATACACATCTGTCACCTCCATACCCCCTCACAGTCCTGTCCCCATCCCCAGGGTGCTCCCTCCAACAGGAGTAAGACCAGGTCCTTGGGACAGCACACCCAACAGGACTCTCCTTTGAGGTAACAGCCCCACAGCACAGCCTCAGCTTCTCAGGGTGGGAAAGCAAGTGCTCTTTGCTGAAGAGGCTGATGACACATTCTGGGGATGCAGCCCAGGGCAGGAAACCGCCTCCGGACACTGCTCTGGGGATGGAGATGAAAAGCCAAGCACGTGAAGCCTTTGCCAGGACAGGACAGGACATCTTTAGCCTTAAAAGCTGCCCCAGCCTGGGCAGGGCAGGGCAGTGCTGCAGTGGAATCCTCACCCCCTCACACCGACCAGTCCTGGGCACTAGTCAGCTAAAGACATCACGTTACAGCGGTGTGCAAGGAGGCTTGGACAGTCCCGCAGGATTCCCGTTTACTTCCTCACTCCAACTCTGCAGCCAACTCACCACCAGCAAGGGAAGGGTCTGAAAACGGACAGGGCACGTCTCTCTCCTTGCCCCCACGCCGTGCCAGTCACAGGATGTACCAGGCTGCAGCTCCTGCTGCCACTGCCACGCAGGCTGCCAGCACCAGCTGCACGAGGGGCTGCCTGGCCAGACCCACCGCGGCGTGGAAGGGGCAGCCGGGCCCTGCCGCGCCTGCCAGGACACAGAAAGCACTGTTAGTGCTGCCAGGCTCGTGCCACACACGTGTGGCAGCTCTCCCTGCCCCCACCTACCCAGTTTGTCTGCGTAGTAGGGGCATTTGCGGATGTCTCCTTTTCCGTCGTGCACTGGAAACCCTCCGTCTTGGGCTTCTTCTGGCAGCGACCTGCCGATCTTGTCCAGCTCATCAAACACCTGCAAGGGGCCACAGCGAGCACGTGAGGCAGGCACAGCTCATCCAGAGTCCTGGAATCATCTGGAGAACAGGCAAGCACCACTCCTGCCTCCCTCCCCCCGGGACTCCTTTGGGAGCACCTCGCTGCAAACCTGTGGTGGCACCTGGCACACGTTACAGCTCCAGGAAGGAACAGCCCATCCCAAAAGCATCCAGTCAGAGCCAGGAGAAGGCAGGACCACCCTGCTGCTCCCCTCCCATCCTGCTGCAGGTGGGAGTGTGAGCCAACTGCACACTGTCAGAGGATCCCTGCTCCTGCAGTGGCCAGCCAGCCCCTCCAGCTCTGTTGCCAGAGGATTCCATAAGAATCCTGATGAAGGAGTCAACCACATCCCAACACATTCCTGACCAGTTTAAACCACACCAACCAGCTACAAGCACAGATTAAAGCTCCCATCCAGTAGCTAAATCTGTGTTCATCTCCCTGGGGCAAGTGGCAGCTCAGTCAGGTTTGATGAAAGGCAAATGCTATGGGAGGAACAAGAGGCTCCAGACATTTTTGGCCATAGGGCAACGTCAGACCTGAGACAGGAGATGACTGTCACCAGGGTGGTGTAACACACTCAAACTGTTTGAGGCTGTCTCAGAGCAACAGCTTTGTTCCCCTTACTGCTTCAGAGCCACACAGCCCACAGGAATCTTGCAGTCATATTAATTTGCCCCAGTCAAAGGCCCAGCTGTGGTGTTGGAGCACAGGAGGAATTCCTGCCCAACACCAGCTCCAGAAGCTAATGGAGAAGCTATTTAGAGTAGAATCCCAACCCCACAAGACAGAGGGGCTATGGTGGTCTCAGCCCCAAACCACTGCCTGGGTGAGCAGTCTGACTGAATTAACCTGGATCAGACCCAAAAGCAGCAGCACCTGCACACAAGGGATTTGTTTAGTACCTGCATGTTAAATCTGAAGGCTCTGTTGGCCTCTTCCACGATCCTTTCCTTGGTGTTCTTATCCAAGTCCAGAGCATTCATCCTTGCTCTGTAAAGCTGCTTGAACTGCTGTGCATTGGAAACGTTCTCAAACACGTAGAACTGGATCCCTTCCCCAGTACTGGGCAACTTTAGGGCCCTCTGGGCCACCTTCTTCAGCACCTGGCCACCTGAGAGGTCCCCCATGTAGCGGGTGTAAGCGTGAGCCACCAGCAGCTCTGGCTCGTGCTGTCCCACGTGATGGATTCTGTCCACATATTGCTGAGTTGCCTCTGAACACTGGATCTTCTCTTTCCAGTCTTCTCCATAGAAATATTTAAGGTCTTTAGCCAGTGCTTCCCTCCGGTGAAGCTCCACGGGGAAATAGAGAGGAGCAAAGACCGGGTTGTCCTTGTTGCGATCCATCTCCTCCTCCAGGGCAGAGTAGGTGAAGTGCAGGGCCACTGTGGCCAGCTATGGACAAAGCACAGCTCACCTGAGAAGCCAGTCCCTGGATCAGCACATTACACCTCAGGACTGCTCCCCCCTGCTTGGAATTGGGGTAAACAAGGAGGAAACGCCCCAGGCTCAACACAAAACCCACCTGGAGAGCTCATACTAGGCAGGTATTGCTTGAAGGAGCAGAGGCTCTGCTCTATCTACCCCTGTAACACCCTCCAGGGCTGTGGGGCTCTGCCTCCAAGTCTGCATCACATCAAAGAGATCAGGAGCAGAGCAACACCCACCTTGAAGAGCTCCTTCCTGATCCGTCCTTTCAGGAAGTCCTTGACAAACTGGGTGTTCTCGGCACGGTCGTGGGATTCCTTAGTGCCCTCCTTCAGCAGCTCCGACAGGTCCGTGGGGCTGCAGGGGACAGGGAGAACTCCTTTTACCCCACATCCACACACAGCTACGAGTTTGTCCCTGCTCTGTTTGCAGGGATCCCCTTCAATCCCTAACATCCCAGGCCCAGACTGGAGAAGGTACAAGGTGGGACCCTCAGGCCACTCCCCAGGTTGAACTGGCACCAGCAGGAGGAAGCAGGGCAAGAATACCCTTAAAAAGTTTATTTCTCCTGAATTACACTGGTTTTGCAGGTTTCCACATGGTGAATTTCTAAAAAAACCTCATTAAAATCTATGATTTGTAGTTACAGCCACTGCACTTACCTGGAGGGTGGTACAGTATCAACACTACACTCACTCAAATGATGCCAAAGTGCACCTTGTGGTTTTTATCACTAGTTTGCTACAGGTAGCACGTTCCTGTTAGCTGGAAGAGAGACTTTGGACACCCCACACCCGCTGAGTGTGCCAGGAGAGCCAGGAAACATTAACTTCTTATGAAGCTGAGCCTGTCAAGTCAAAGAAGTCGACCAGCCTATCTAGGTCTTCTGGGAAGCACCCTATATTCTTCCCATTTTCCAGGTCTGAATCCTTGGGTTTTAGAGCATTTTGTGAATTTGGTTTTGGAACTAACCTCCTAAAAAATGTTCTTGCCTGGACCTGTGGGTATTCTGCAAAGCAAGAAAGGCAGCTGTCCAGAGTGGAGTTCACTTCTAGAGTCACCTTTCAAAACAAGAAGCTGCTATCACATGAGCCTGCCCAGCGAGCCATGGAAAACCGGCTTCCTTGGCCAGGAAGGCAGAAACACAACCACCAAATGGTCAAAGTGTTTGTGGAATGTCAGTTTGACAGTGGCAGCTAAAAAAATAACTGTGTTGTCAGCCCTGCCAGATTGCTCCTTCCCATCCCCTCCAGCAGTTTGATTAAACAGATTTTACTGCACATGTAGTTGATTAGTCATCTACTGGTGTCTCTCACTTCTTTCAGATGAGGAGAAGGATCACTCCTTGACCTGGCAGGTCTCCTGCCTTGCCCAGGGCTGTGTCTGTGCAATAGTGTAGGACAGGACTCACCTGACATTGTTGTCTTCTGTTTCCTCGTAGCGCGAGACATCCGCGTCCTCTCCCGCCTCCGGGCCCTCCATGGCCGATGGCATTGCTGGTCAGTGCTGGGGATCGGTCTGAAAGGCAAAATCAGGAAGGGGTTTTTGGGGGAAGCTGCCTTAGCAAAGGGATGGGTGTGAAATGTTGTCTAGCAAGGAGCCTCTGGGCTGCCCCCCAGGCAGGGGGTGAGGAACAGCCACCGGCCGTTTCCACCGAACACCGGGCGCTTCCAAGGAAGCACATTTGTTTGTTCAGTTCAGGCCCCCCAGGAGAACCTCAACACTGACACCCAGCTCACTAAATATCAACCTCAGAGACCTACAACACAGCAAGCAGCCTGCATTTGGTTTCCCACTTCAGGGTGGTTCCTGGCTGAAGGTGAGAGCTCCGAGCTGGGAACCTGCACTGAAATCGTGAGCAAGCAGCTCTCCCCTGGTGCCACCAAATATTTCACCCAATGTGCTGCTCAGAGCAGAGTCACAGGAAAGGGAAGCACCTCCCCTTCACTCAGGAAGAAGAACACGCTCCATTTCCACAGCAGCACAGAGCTTCCCTGGAAGAAAGCAGTGGGGAATTAGGCCAGCTGAGCTCTGAAGTCAGGCAGCTCACAGGGGAAACAAGAACATTCCCTGCGACAGAATATAGGAACTTCCAAAGCAAGGGCAGATTTCACTGCTCCTGTTCCCACTCACAGCCTCCTCTCCTGCCTGCCAGGGTTTACTTCAACCCCCACAAGCAGCTGGGGTTTCCCCTCCTCTTTTGCAAAAGGAAACAGAATCTCCTTGGACGTACCAGGATGCACAAGACTTACCCAGAAGCAGGAACAATGGCTCACTCATTGGATCAGCACATCACACCTCGTGACTACTCCCCCCCCACATGCAGTTGGGGTAAACAAGGAGGAAACCCCCAGGCTCCACACAAAACCAGCCTGGAGAGCCTGTACCAGGCAGGTATCGCTTACACTGGCTGAGCACAGAAATCCAGGCACCTCATTTACAAAGTGGGCCTGTAATCAGCTTTGTGCAGAGCAGCACCACCACCTTAGAGGCAGCCTTGGCAGAGGAGCAAGGGGCTAAGCTGCTGCTGGCTCTTTGGAAAGCCTTGCTCTAAGAGAGCCATCCTCGTGCTCCCCCACTTCAAGGGGCTGCATCCTGCAGGACTTGGCAGGGTGAAGTCTTCCCACCCCAGGATGGGGAAGGGCAGGGCAGGTGGGAACACCAGCACATGGGCTCAAGATAGGTGAGGAAACCACCTTCAGGTGCTGTACTGTCCATGTGATCACTCCCTAGAGAGCACACGTGCTCACATCAGCTCAGCACACTGGACTCATCTTCACTCCTCACACAGCTCCACCTTCAAACATTGGGAGATGCCCACTGTGGGGAAGGGAAACCAAAGCAGAGGCAAATCACCCACCTGAGCTCAACCAGGAGCCTTCATGGGCACGGGGGCACAGCCCACTCACCTCTGCCAGTGCAGATCATCTCTCCTGCTCGGCAGGCCAGACCTTCTCAAGAGATGCAGATTCCAAAATGAAACTGGACAAACGAGTTCCAGCTCATCTTACAGCCCCAGAAAGCCAGAGGCCTGGAGGTAGGGTGTGCTGTCCCCACACACCTGCAACAGCCCCCGGTACAAAGCAGCAGGTGAGAGCAGAGCTACAGAGCACTTCAGCACCACTCATCCCTTGGGAGAGGCCTGAAGGCTGACATCAAATCCAGCCTAAAGGAACACACCACATCAGGCTCAGAAAACCATGGTTAACAGCAGCAGTGGCTCAAGGCTCCCAGTGGCCACGTGCACATGGCCCTGAGATCATCGTTGTACAAGACACCTCTGCTCACTCCTCAGAGCCTCCCCTCCCGCGCCTCGGGCACACTCGTGTTCAGCAGCGCTCCCCCACACGGGAACTCTGCTCCCCACATCACACAGGGGGAGCTCCTGGGGCCTCAGAAGCCTTTACCCAACCCTGTTACTGGTGCTGTAGCAGCACAGCTGATGAGAACGGGGAATGGCTGCCCCAGGAGCACTGTCTGCTGACAAGAGCAGGGTTCAGCACACAAACAGGCATTTAAGGTCTTTGATGCACTCTGGGACTTGTATCTGCAACTGTGCAGCAGAGGCTCAGTGTGACACGTTCCTCTCCATGGCAATAGGGCAGTCAGTGATGACAGCAGTCCCTGTAGCCCGAGGCAAGGGCAGAACACGTGCAGGGAATAGGGAAGCTCAGATTTTTCTGATACAGTTTCTAGTACAGACACCTCCCCAATGAGCCATGAATTCAAGAGACATGTCAGCACAAACCAGTCCCATCCTTTCCACTGCTGGGCTACTGCACAAGAACTGGGAGGAAGGAAAGTCAGAATCATTGTGTCTCTTATCACTACACATTGTTGCTTTTACTCAAAAACTGGCAACTCCAGTCCCTGGTCACAGCCCTGGTTTCTCAGGGTGCTCTGCTCCTCTGGAAAGGAGGATGTGTCCCACATGCCAAGGAGGCAGCTCAGGCAGCTGCCCACCTCCTCTGCAGAGGCTGGAATGTCATTCCATTTGCTGCAGGAGCTCAGCTCATCCAGGACCTGGCTGATGTTCAGTGTAAACACATATCTTTGCAGTGCCCGGACAGCAGCCTGCCTGGGAGAAATCCAACTCAAATCAAAGCCATGAGCTGGGATAGCAGGGCTGGAGAGTGGGGAGGAGGTTTGGTACAGGACACCTCAGCATTCTAAACATTTCCTTCCCAATGACAGTGTTCGAACCCTCTGAGAAAACATCCCACTTCATCCAGCCAGCAATTACTTTGCCCCCGTGCACATCTCCCCAGCAAGCCTCACACCCCAGATGCACAGCTGCTCTTCTAGGGTAGGAAGACACTTAATCCCAATAATCCTGTGCCTTTTGAAGGAAGCAGGCACCACTGCTGCAGGAAGCAGGACTGGAAGCCTCAGAGTTGCTTGGGCACCCTGGGAGAAGTTCAATAGCTCAGGAACACCCAGGCAGCACAGAGTTCACCCTTGCTGTTTGACCTCCACGTAATTTCAAGGTATTTCCCTATACACAGAGCTCAGAGTGTGGCTGGACCTACCTGAGCATCACTGTGCTGGAGACAAACCCCAGAACTCCACTCTAGGGGCTGGAATCATCTCAGAGGTTACCTGGCAATCCTAGCAGGAGAGACGTGTGTCTCCTCCTCCCTCTGGGGAGGTATTTGGCACCGGCTGCTGCTGGAAATGGAGCCTCACAGAATAAATTGCTACATTACCTGATCCCAGGTAGGTTTAAGGCTTCATCAAGACACAGCCAAAATTTAGGCAATAATTCAAGTCTAAGACACTTCTAGCAGTGCCCACACAAATGCTACTTCTGTCCCCCAGAGCTGCAGCCCAGCACCTCAGCAACCTGACCGAGGGAAGATCCTGGCGAGCTCACAGACCTTCAGAGCACCTTTGGTGGTGGCCTTTGTGACAGGTAGCACATTAGAAACCTATTTTCTCACCTTGGCTGTGAGAACAGCCAAGGGACAGGTCAGTCAGGGCCGGATCCGGGATAAGAAAGACACACATGGCTATATCAAAGAGCTCTTGCTCTGGGGAGAGCCAGTGCTCGCCCTGCCTGTCCCAGCACGCTGACAGCTGTGCCTGGGACGCGCCGAGCGGGGCCAGCGACTGGCACTCGGGCTGTAATGCACTGCTGGGGGTAAGTGCTGAGCCTTGAATAGGGCAGTTGTTTCACCCAACAACGGAAAGGCAGGGACAGCGAGAGGCCTCGGAGGCCTTCGCCCTCCAAGCTCTTCTCTGAGCTCAGCGGGATCAAGGAGAGCCAAGTGCCCTCCTCGCACGGCTCCCGACCCGAAGCCCCGGGCACCCGTAACGAGCCGCCGCGCAGAGTCACCGCGGGGCTCTGAGGCCGCCGTGTCCCGGAGCGGGGACACACGGCAGGGATCCGGGAGGGCTGAAAACTGCGGGCCTGGCCCGGCGGACAGCTCGGCCGCCACAGCTCCGGGCCCGCCATCCCAGCGTCCTCCCATCGCCGCCGCAGGGTGCGGGACCAGCCCCGCGGAGCAGGGCCCGGAGCCCCCCCGTTGCCACGGAGACTCACCGGAGCCGCCTCCACCCTCCGCCCGCGGCGTGAAACAAAGACCCCGCACGGCCGGCCGGGATTTATTAATGAGGGGGGGTCACGGCGCGGCCAATCAGGACACACGGACGGCACGCGCCGGCGCCGCCGATTGGTGGGAGCGGCCGGGAAGTCACGCCGCGACCCTGGCCCCGCCCCCTCACCTGGACGGTGCGGCGCGTAGCCCCGCCCCCGCGGGAGGTCGGCTGCCGCGCATGCGCAGCGGGCAAGAGCGGCGGCGGAGAAGGAAAGATGGCGGTGACGGCGCTTCGGTACCCGCGGCTTTATTGGCTGCGGCAGCAACACCTAGCGCGGCTCCGCCCCACGGCCCCTGCGGGGCCGGCGGCACACTCGGACAGCCCTCGCAAGGCGGCTGAGGACATCAGGCCTGGGGCTTCTCTGTGCTACAGCCCCAGCCCGTGGGCTGAGCCCGGTGTCTCTGAACACAGAAATCAAGAGCGTTTGAGATGGTCCGTTTGGTTCACTATTAATGGTCCATAACGCGTGAGCACAGGAGAGTCATTTACCTCCCTCTGAAATACATCAGGCACATTCCAGCCTTTTCAGACCACTTACTCTCTCTCCCAAGAGCTTCCCCTCCGACCACCAGCGCCTTCCCGTGCTGAGCCCATGCTTCTCCCCAAACCTCCAGCTGCTCGCACTGCCTCTCCCTTTCTTCTCTCTCTCTCCTTTGGGGCTTGTTCTCCTAAAATAAGCTGCCTTCCCCCTCCAGGAGCAGGGCTGTCAGTGAAGCAGAGACGCCAGGCTCGCAGCGATCGGCCCCGCTGCCCACGCCGCCCTAGGGCTGCCCGGCCCCGTGGGTGCGGCGGTGCCGCAGCAGCGCGGAGCTGACGGCGAAGCCCCTGCCGCAGTCGGCGCAGGCGAAGGGGCGCTCCCCGGTGTGTGTGCGGCGGTGCTGGGTGAGGTGGGCGCTCTGCCGAAAGCTGTCCCCGCAGTCGGCACAGGCGTACGGGCGCTCCCCGGTGTGCACCCGCCGGTGCCGCAGCAGCGCCGACCTCCACAGGAAGCTCTTCCCGCACTCCACGCACCTGAAGGGGCGCTCCCCGGTGTGGAAGCGGCGGTGCTGGATGAGGTGCGAGCTCACCGTGAAGCTCTTCCCGCACTCGGAGCACCCGTACGGGCGCTCGCCCGTGTGGAACCGCCGGTGCTGGATGAGGGCGGAGCTCACGGTGAAGCTCTTCCCGCACTCGGAGCACCCGTACGGCTTCTCCCCGGTGTGGACCCGCTGGTGCTTCATGAGCTCGGAGCTCTGGCTGAAGCTCTTCCCGCACTCGGAGCAGCCGTAGGGCTTTTCCCCGGTGTGGACGCGCCGGTGCCGCGCCAGTGCCGAGCTCACGCTGAAGCTCCTCCCGCAGCTGCCGCACTCGTAGGGCCTCTCCCCCGTGTGCACCCGCCGGTGCTGCACGAGCTGGGCGTTCCCGGAGAAGCTCTTCCCGCACTCGGAACACCTGTAGGGCTTCTCCCCGGTGTGGGTCACCTGGTGGCGGAGCAGCTTGGAGCTCACGCTGAAGGTCTTCCCGCAGTCGGAGCACTCGTAGGGCCTCTCCCCCGTGTGGGTTCTCTGGTGCTGGATGAGATGAGAGCGTTGCCGGAAACTGCCCCCGCACTCGGCACAGCCGAAGGGTTTCTCTCCGGTGTGGATCCTCCGGTGCTGGATGAGGTTGGAGCTCACCCGGAAGCCCTTCCCGCAGTCCCCACATACCATCAGTCTCCCCACAGATGGATTTCTCTGCTGGGTAATGTCTGTCGGCCTCCTGAGACTCTTCCCACGCAGCATCGCTCGGCTTTGCCTCTTCCCCAGAGGTCTCTGAACTCCTTCTGACCTGTGTGGGACGACTGGGTCCTGTGCTGGATTCTGGGAATTGTTCTCCTTGGAGAGTCCTGAGAGTAAAGCCTTGGGCTCTGCTGGCCCAGGGATGCCTTGGTGGGCATTCTCCTCTTTCTTGCTCACAATCCCATCTTCAGCTGCAAAAAAAGGAGAATCCAGAGAGAAGTCACAGGCAGGACACAAAACATTAGACAGGGGAAATCGAAAGGGGCCAAATTCCAAGAACTCACCAGATTAAGTATAAAAAGTTTTGATATTTCCCTCCAAACTCTACAGTGGATTTCTCAAGAGTGTTCACAGGAAGAAACCCTGGAAATAGATGGCCCTGGGTGCTCTGCCAGAACCTGAATCCACTGAAAATACTGGCTTATTAGAGGTGAAAGTTTAGTGCTCGAATGGGAAAGATGGCTGCTCTTCCAGGATATCTGAAAACATTATTAAAAGCTGAACTGGGAGTCATGGAAGGGCCACAATAAACTGCCCTGCTCAGCAGAACAGATGCAGCATCTGTGCTGCTGGTGTTGCAGAGAGAGAAAAGATGCCCAAAGGAGACACTGGCCCTAAGGCATGAGACATGGAGACCACCTGGAGCCTGGTTGATGCCAGTCTTAGAGCAGAAGAAAGGCAATTTTGTGCTCCATGGGTGCAAAGCAAACCTGGTGTGGGGGGTGGTTGGTGAATTGAAGATCCTCTGTGGGCAACTCCAGATAATTCACTGAGGAAATCCAATATAAACACAGAAGATGAAGGCAGTGCAAGTCCATGGAAGTAATGCCAACTGAACAGTACAACCAGCTCCTGGGACACAGGCAATGAACAAACCCCTGCCCTCTGATTCCCACCAAGTCTTGCAGAAACACAAGTGGGATGAATCTATGCTGCACAGACTCAGGGTCAGCTGAAAGCCTTTCCAGACAAGGGGCTGCACAAATTCCTCAGGTATCTACACAGAGCACTGCCTCCTTCCAGCCTGCTGCTCACCTATCCTCTAGGATAGAGGATGCTCCTCAATCCTCTAACATGGATTGAGGAGCATCCCAGCAGGTCCGGAAGCACAGATCCCAGCAGTGCTCTGGCTTCTGCTGTCAGTGGGGCCGTGGAGCTCTCTGCAGACTCACTGAGGGCTCACGTGCTAAACTGGCAAGACAGGATGTGTGGCACAGCCCCATCTGCTGCCAGGGAAGGGCCAGTGGATGTCAGAGGGATGTACATGGGATGTAGAAATGGCAGCATGCATCTCCGAGGAGAGGCATCACATCCAGGGTTAGGACAGGTCAGTCAAGGGAAGAGATTCCAGATCATCGTGTACAGACCTGCTGTTGACTACACATAGACCCAAAACATGGCACAGGCTGAGGACTGAAGCTGCAAACACACAGTGCCCCAGATCTGCCCATGGAAAAATTCAATGGCTCCTCCTGGATCTCTGAAAACCCCTGTGGAATGAACTGGTAACATACCAGTCATGTGGGGCTGATGGACAGAACACAGGCACTGCTGGTGCTCTGGCAGAGCTGGGATGAGGAAGTGCTTGCCTTGAAACAGGAGAGTCACTGCTGAACCAAGAAAGGAAGGAGAGTCCAGAATTACAACCCAGATGATACAAGTACATATTTGATCTTCCTCTTTCTAGTCACTGTAAGAAAATCATAACAATATGATTTCACTTTGAGCTCCTGAGATGCCTTTTGTGGCAGTTTGGTGTGACATTGATCAGCTACTTTTCCCTCACATAGTTTCCCTTAAAATCATTCCTTCAGAGGAACAGAAACTGGAATTTTGCTATCCACTTCCATCTGTCTGCAGCCAATCCATCCAGGCCTGTAGGAGAAGAGAAGAGGGCAGGATAAGGACATTTCTGTCAGCCCAGCATGAAACTCCTGACCTGTAGGTCTGACTTACTGAGCAGACAGTGGAGCTTGGGAAGTTGTTCTGTTGCTGTTGTCTGTAAAGGGTTTGATCAAAATCATGAACACAGGACCTCACCAGAGGAATTCATACTGGAAGCATTAGGGCTGAACTGGCAAAAATGAATAAGCAAGAGAAAAAGGAAGAGTGTGGCTCCTTGTCAGCCCAGACCAATTTGGGTTGTGCTCAGGCCTCTGATATGGCCAAGATTGCCAGGGCTAAGCTACAAGGAAAGGTCCAGGTAAGCAGAGTGAGTGTAAACATTGAGAGAGAACCTAAATATCACCTTAAATGTACCCTTGGATCTCTCTTTCTCAGGAGAAGCCACCTGGAGCTCTTCAGAGATGTCACCAATTTTAGCAAAAGAGATCTAGAGTGCAAAGGTGTTCCCAAATACATTCATCCTTCACCAAACCAGTAAGGAAGCTAAGCTGCCATGGGATGGATGACCCTCAGGAGGTGGGAATGAAGGGAAAAGAAGGTGGATGATGATTCTGTTATTCAGGGGTAAGACACAAAGGCTGACTATAAACTGTGTCAGAGCCTTATGACCAGCCAGGTGACATTCACTGCAGGTAAACACAAAGAACTGCAGAGGTAAACAGCATCTATACCTTGCACTTTTATCAGAATGGGCCCAGGATGTTCTTGGTGTTATTCAGGAATAGCACCATGGAGTTAGAGAAGATAGATGAAAACTGCAGCTCCCAGGCAGACAAAACAGCTCATCAAATGCTAATGATTGTTTGGGAAAAACAATCAAACCCCACATGCTGAGTGTGTGCAAGGAGGGGATGGATCCCCCCTTTCAGAGAAGTTCCAGCAGAGCTGAGGCAGATACAGAGGATGACATGAAGGACCTATACTGCTGTACAGATTCTGTACAGATGACTCAGCTGCCCATTCTGTTGTGAAAAGGTGCAGCTGACAGGGCTCTTGCAGAGGACTATAAAACCACAAGTGGCCCACGGGTGGGGATCTCTGACATCAAGTGAGCTCCTAGAGGGCAGTGTCAAAGCAAACCAAAGGAGGCAGAGACTCACAAAGCAGCTGAATATGCTGTGGAACTGCTGGCTGAGAGCTGTCACTGATGCTAAACCTTACACAGCTTCAGATAGCAAGAAATTACAGACAGGGCTGTGAGACAGGGACACATGGTGTGTCTAGTCCAGGACTTTCTGAAACCACAGAGTGCCAGGGCCTGTGAAAGCATCCATGGACACAGCACTGCCTGTCTGCCTTCTCTGGGATCCAGCCCCAGCCTCTGCCGGGAACAGCAGCAGCGCTGGGAGGACTGTGTTCCATCCCAGTACCACCAGTCCTGCACGTTCTGATGTGGTTTGGGGATCCTGGAGAAGTTTTTCTCTGCCAGGTTCACAGATGACTTGGCAGTGCTGGGTTAATGGTGGGACTCGATGACCTTAGACAGCTTTTCCCAACTTTAACGATTCTATGACTGTACCATCCCCTCACCTGCACAGGTGTCGCTCAGAACCATCTCGGTCTTCACTTGGAAGGTGCAGAGGTGGGAGAACCACAGTTCCTCCTTACGATCCATGTGGGAGATCATCTCCAGCTCCACTCTGGGGGTCCTGCTCCGTGGGGGAGACACGGGGTGGGTCAGACGGACCGGCTGGGGACCCCGGGGTGCACCGGGCCCTCTGCACCGCTACGGGCCCGCGGGAACCGGGAGGGGCTGTGGGGGCTGCCCAGGCGTGGGGGGCGGCTGGGCATGGACTCTGGTAAAAGCCGCCTGTTCCAGCCCCGCCGGTGCCCGCGTCCCGTCCCGGGGGTCCCGTCCCGGGGGTCCCGTCCCAGCCCCGAGGGTCCCGTCCCTGGGGGTCCCGTCCCAGCCCCGCTGTGCCCGCGTCCGGTCCCGGGGGTCCCGCCCCAGCCCCGGAGGTCTCGTTCCGGGGGTACCGTTCCGTCCCGGAGGTCCCGTCCCAGCCCCTCACTCGTTCCCGGTCCCGCTCGGCGGCTCCGCGGCCGCTGAGGCGCCGTCACGTGACGGGCACTGGTGGCCAATGGCGGCGGTGCCCGCGCCGCTGAGGGCCACCCAAAATGGCGGCGGCGATGGCGGCAGTCCCGCCTCCCCTGAGGGCCCGTTACCCGCTGCCCGCTCCGCTCCGAGCCCTCCCCGCAGCCGCGGGGCCCCTCCCGTGTGCTGGGTGAGCCGCCGCGGCTGCCGGAGGGTCTCCCCGCAGGCGGAGGGTTTCCCTTGGGGTACCTCAACAGCGCTTCAGGGGGGAAGCGAGTGCCCACCCCGGGGGCAATACAGAGCCTTTGCGCCAGAGGCTCAGTGAACAAGGCGCGATCGAAAGAGCGCTTTCTAAGGAGAGGAAAGTATCCAGAGAACACCCGAGCAGAGCTCTGGAAACCTGTACGTGGGCTCGGTGCCCTTCCAGGATTTGGGGCCCCAACCTGGGCTGAGGCCGCCCAGGTCCCAAATATTTGGAAAGAAGCAGCGGGATTGGTCTGAGCTCAGGCACGAGCTTAAATTCTTAGCAATCACACATGGTTTGGGTTGGAAGGGACCTTAAAGCCCATCTCACCCCCTGCCATGGGCAGGGACACCTTCCACTATCCCAGGTTGCTCCAAGCCCTGTCCAACCTGGCCTTGGACACTTCCAGGGGCAGGGAGTCCACAGCCTCTCAGGGGGATCACAGGGATGTGTCACCTCTCCCTGGCACTTTGTGTTTCATTAACCAGCTGACAACGCCTCTGGAAGAAATCTTATGCTGGGATAATAAAGAAGCAAACCAGCACATTTGGAATGCTCTCCCAGAAATAGCTCCAGTCCCCTTGGAGAGCTGCAGGGAGGATTGCTCTTGCATTTATCCCTTCCATATCTAAACACTGGCACCCTTAGTGTGACTCTGTTAGCCCAGAAGAAGGGGAAGGCACAGCAGTCTATGTTCTGTGCTTTACAGAACACATTTTGTAGTTATTTTGTACTTAAAACCTCCGAGGGTCTCAGCCGTGTCAGAGACAACGGTGCTGTGTAACAACCACTCAGGAAACGCCATTAAACAGGGTAAGTGTACGCACAGAACTCTGCCTGTGTAAGAAAACTCTCTTCTCAGAATTATTTCACAGAAATCTGCAGCACAGCTTTGCAGAATAAACCTATTAAAGCCATTTTTTCCAGGCATGAAATGTGGCAATACACAAACCAACATGGAATATCCTAAATCAGTCCCACCGGTCATTTGATTATCACAGCAAATTTAGAAGCTCACATGGTGCATCTTGGTGAGACAGAGGCTTTGTGCAATGCCAATAACATACCTGCTCCTTTCTTTAACTTAACAACTAATATTCTAGTTGAAAAGGTTTGGGGTTTTTTTGCAGCATTGGAAGTGTTAAAAAAAAAAAAGAGGTCTCAAACTATTTTTGATAACTGTTACTACAGAGCTGGAAATAAAAAATTATGACAATTTATCTTTCAGGGCAAATGAGCCTGCATTAGGAAGGTAAAAACCACAGAAATATTTACAAATTTAATTATTTGGCAACACATTAGCACTGGCAGTTGGCAACACCAGCCTTAGATCAGGCAGGCCTGCATTGCTCATGGATTAATGAAGCAGGAGAATGAATAATTGCTTTCAGATAATTTGCAGTGTATGTCAGATGTATCCTTGTGGTCTTGAAGGCTGCAAAAGATTTCAAATCCTTTTCTCGTCATCTAACAAAAGTTTTAGAATTACATTTTGTCAAGTTCAGCAATAAGGAGGAATCAAGGCAAGCCTCTGCAAAGTGGTCACCTCCAAACACCGACAGCACATACCACAGATGTGGTATGAAAATACAGCTTTTTTTCCTGCTAAACAGTGCTTTATGACATGATGTGATTTGAGTGATTATAACTTACATCCACTGAACTGTGACTGAAGGTAATTCAATGAAGGTAACATGTAATAAAAGAATTGATCACAAAATCTTTGACTGTAGATGTAAGTCTTACCCAAAAACAGAACAAAAAAATCCTGGGACGGGATACTTATTTTCCCATATTAAGACTGGGAAGTAGGACTGAAGCTTTTCCATGTGTGAGGTGCAGACTTGAGAAATACAAGTACACTGAGGGAGCAGCATTCACTGGAAGGCCAGTTAAGGCAAGCTTTGTCTTTTTCCCATAACAAAGTCACTGCTGGGAGCTCTTGAACTGAGAGGGAGTGGTCACCCATTTTCCCTTCCCCAGCAGCCCCCCAGGGAGGAGGAAAGCTGGGCAGGCCCCGAGGCTCCTGGGCCTCTTCCTTGCCAGGCCTTTGCCCAAGGCCCCGAGGCAGAGGTGGGGCTCACCCCCTGGGCAGGAATCAGGCACAGGCTGAGCCCCAGGGACACCAGGCAGCCTGAGCTCTTCTTCCTGGTCTGCCTGGGACAGCCCAGCCAGGCCTGAGTCTCTCCAGGAGAGGCCAAGCCCAGCCAGAGAGGGCTCAGCCCCCTGAGGCCCCTCAGCCCCTTTCATCTGACCCCCTGTCCTGTGTCTTCCAGGAGAAAGGGCCACACAGCCTCGGCCATACAAGGGACCTGCTGCCGGGGGCAGGGCTGCTCCAAGTTGATCCTTTTGCTGAAGGAGAACCAAGACCTGATGAGGACGTTCCTGGGCCTCTGCTCTCTGCAGAGGGCATTGCTGAGAGAGAAGAGAAGGAAACGGATGACTCGGAAGAGGAGGAGACTCCACTTCTCCACTTGACCGTGGATCCCCAGCTCCAGCAAGGCCCTTCCCTACAGAGCCCCACACCCACCAGCCCAGAGGAACCAGGCAGCTCGTCCTCATCTCACTCCAGGCAGCAGATCCTCAGTTCCTCAGCCATTGCTGGGGATCTTTCCACCTCTCCCTGCTGCTGGGTGGCCCTGGCAATTCCTTTTCTTCCAGTTTTCCTCTAGTTCTCTGCTCCAGATTTCAGCCAGGCCCAGCGCAGACTGTGAACCCCCCTGCCCTCAGCCAGACCCAACACTGCTGTTTAGACCTTTCCCTTAAATCTCTTCTAAGTTGTTACTTAGAGTTTAGAATAAGGACTTTACAGATTGTTTATTGTATAGAATAGAAATCAAAACTGAAGATAATACTTTATCAAAAATAAAAAATAAAAATTTTACATTCCAAGTCTATAAATACCTTTAGAAATCTGGCTTCTTTTTGTGAAGTGTTGTGTCCATTTTGTTCAGTGACTCTTTGCACACTCTGAAGTGCCAGAACAGAAAGAAATCAGAAGATGTGAAACCTGATACACAGAATAAGACAATTTAGGGTCCAAGACCTCCCCAAGAGTCCCAGACAGTTTCCAAGTGGGATCAGTCCAGTTTGTAAATGGGACTGATCAGAACAGCAGTTTTATTTCAGGGTGTAAGAAGTGCTGAAGAGATCCAGTGGGCACTGTAATCTTGCATTCAAGACATCTGTGCCAGAGACACACTCAGGCCACACCAATAAGGTCAAAGGGCATTCAGGAGATGCAGCAGAAGGGATTTTAACAGAGATCCAGCCTGGAAATGGACACACCCCACTGAATTTTCCAATCTAAGGGGCTTTCTCATGACACTGGGTGTCAGGGGTGCTTTTGGGAGCCATCCCAAAGAGACCAAAGAAGGACACCTCCACTGCTCTGCAACTGTTCTAGAAACACAGATTTAGAAAGTTTACTAAAGATTGGAAAGTGAACCAAGGACAGAAAAAAGGCCTTGTATGTATTTCTACATACATGTCCTACTTCACAATCAGCAGGACAAAGTGTGCTGAAGAGAGGAAGGTGGAAGTCCCCAGTCCAAACAAGCACCCCTTTCCATAGTGGATTGAATACTGGAAGGTGAAGGAGGATGCATTTCCCAGCCCAAAGCCAGGGAAAAGGTCATGAAAAGTGTCACTGAGGGAAGCACCACCATGAAGAAAAGTTGGGGACCTAAACCTACTGGAAAAATGGAAAGAAAAGGCACAAAAGTAAAACTGGGGGGGAAAGAGGGTCTAGGGTAGCTGTGTGCTGAAGGCAGGCCAGCGATGGAGGGGTTTGTGCCATCGGAGCAGAGGCTCCCATGGCTCTGGAACGGGAGCGCGGCTCAGCCCTGTTCTCTGGGATGTGCTCTGGGAGCAGGGCACGAGGAGGAGCTGTGCTCCCACCCAGCACCCACCATGGGAGCTCCATCTGGGAAGGGGGTTTCCAGCTCAGCAGCGAGGCCTCCACGCCCAGGACTGTCAGGGTGGAGGAGTGGCCTTCACTCGGCATCGCCTTCTCTGTTTTTTGTTCTCTTTTCTTTTCTGTCCCTGCTCTTTCCGGGCTCCGGCCATGGTACATGTGATACACTGAGAATCCAGGAAGTCCAGCAGCTTTGCCTTGGAAATTTTGATGCCGTTCTGTTTGAGCTCTGCGTGCAGATCCACCAGCTCGAGTGGCTCATAGAAGAGAATCCTGTTGTACAGGGCTGTGTTGGAGCGGATGTAGCACCTCACTGCCTCCAGCTTTTCTTCTTCCCGAGCTGCTGCTTGAGATGCTGGAAACTCCTCTTCCTCCTCCTCAGATGCAAAAGCACAGGTTTCAAATCCATTCACAAAAGAACTAAAAGCAAGATCAAATAGACCAGAGGTCAAGGAAAGAACAGGCTATCAAGGACAGGACCAGAGTTCCCCAAAATCCCTGATGGGGAACCCCTGGGACTTCCCTCTGCAGGGTCGCAGACTCTCCCCTACTGGCACCCACAAAATGAGTGAGGCAGAACATGGCAGGGGGTCTGCAAACTTCCCCATCCCAGCTGTGACAGCACTGATCCGGAGCTGTCTGGCATTCCAGGCTCCTGACCCGTACTGCGTCAGGCTCTGCCCAGGGTGCTGTGCCAAGCTCTCCCAGCTCCAGCGGCAGGTTCTCATGAAACACGGAGTGCTCCTTGTCACTAACTCGCAGACCAGACGTGCCAGTTCTGGGCCTTGCCCACACACAGCCACACTCCCTTTTATATTCTGAGAATAGCTCAGTGGGAATGAGACTGAAAATCCAAAG